TTCAATCCAGAACTTACCAGCATATAGAAAGCAGCATCATTCCGGTATCATTCTGGTCGCGGCAAAATGTAATTCCTCAAAGAAACCGGCATTCAAAAGAGTGGAGATGATGCCGGATGATGCCGCAATGGGACGGGGATGGGACGGGGATGGGTGCGACATCGTGTGAAGAAACAGGGAAAGGATCCACAATGGGACGGGATGCGACGGGGATGGGCGGGGTTTCTCTGCGACGTCGTGTGAACACAGGGGAAAAGGAAGCGCAATGGGACGGGAATGCGATGGAGATGGGACTGCTTTAGACCCCGTGTGATAATGTCCATTATCTGATATGCTGATATCCATATCAAGTTATCAAGACTGTGTTTAACTAGTATCACAGACCTTCTTATTATTATGACTAACAAAACATCAAAACAGATGGAGATCCCAAAGGTACAGATGGCACTGAGCAGTCTAGCCATCCTTCTGCTGTTGTTGTTGGCACTGTTGCATGCTATAAAAGTCTGGAGAGAACATGGCTTTAGTGATAACAAGGTACCTCTGATTCACTGTTATTTATTTGCTTGATTAATATTCTATCTTTTTGCCAATAAACTCTAAGAAATGTAGATGGGTCTACTCCTCCCTACATCCCTATGAGGTAGGATGGACTAAGAAAAAAAGTGATTGGCCCAAGGTCACCAAGGTAGCCCTATGAGTTTCATGGTTTGGTGGAAACTTAAATTCAGATGTCTAAGGTCCCAGTCTAACACTTTAAATACTACATCACATTGGTTCTTTTCCTGTTTAGAATGCTAATGCAATTTGATAATGCAATTTGATAATGCGATGACAATGCAATTTTGTTTTTATGCTGACATTGTGCCATAATAAAGATATTGTATTGTATTGAATGCTAATGCTTCACAATTCCAAACAAGTACATCAGAGGTTCATCCACACAATTCAGTTATAGCATTATGATTCCACTTTAACTGCCATGGCATTCTTCCATAGAATCCCAGGATTTGCAATTTAGGGAGGATTATTCACAATTTTCAGCCAGACACAAAACCCAGGATTCCATAGGATGCTGCTATGGCAATTAAAGTGGAATCATGACACATTGTGTAATGTGAAAGGACCCAGGATTCATATTTACACAGAGGAAAGAGCCCATAAGCAAACTGAATTTTAATTCAGGAAGAAGATAAGTACCCCATTGGTTATATAAGACTATATAATATTATTATAAGACTATCATATCTATTAATATTGTCTGTCAATCTGCCATAACACAGACTAGTACAATGTGTCAAGATCTAGAAATATGTGCAAAACCAGTAACATGATCTCATCCATAGACTACTCATGTTAACTCACAAAATATACAGCTAGAGTGATGGAAATATGATAAACTGTTTGACATATGGCAATATCACTTCATCTGGCTGAAAAGTTTTCAGTTTAACAAGAATGAGCAGATTTAAGCTAGGAGCTTTTCAACTGTTCCTCTTAGTATTGTTTCTCCTCTTTCCAATGAGTAATATTTTTTGTGAGTAAAGCAATTATGTTTGTTCATATAGTATATTAACAAAGCAACATAATTTTTAAAAGTTCATATACTTACAAATTATATCCAGGTGTTCCTTTTCTTTTGTTTTTAAAAGCCCTTTAAGACAAGGAATGTTAAAGGAACATCAGACTATAATATGTATGTATATAAACTTCAGAAGGCTGGGGTGTTGTCAGTTCTTCTCTAATGAATGAAAGTTACACAGCAGGGCAAGAGCAGTGGGTTTCTGTAGAGAGTTCCTTTTAGCTCTTGGTCATATCCAGCAGTGCTCTCTTGTTTAAAAGTTATGGATATCATGTAAAGGACAACGTTAAAATGGGGGGTGGGGATCACCAACATTCATGAAAATGACGATAGTGGAGAAATGAGAAATGGTGTTTCCTTCCATGCTTTCTCCTTGCCATGGGAAGCAATGAGACAGAAAAGAAACCCCACAGCAGGTCGGTTTGGGACCACCAGCAAATTTGTGAGTCCTTCTGTATTTTTCCCATGTCATCAAACAGGCAAAAACATGCAGGTTCTGAAATATTCAGTCATTGTTGCTGGCTCAGACTTTGTGGAACTAATTAGAAAGAGCTATTTCCCACCCTCCTTGGCTTCATACAGTGCAAATGAAACATATCTGACACAAAGCATTATCAGATCGTTTTAGTTATACCTGCCGATAGCTGGCATTGTGTTTTATATGTGACACAATACTGGCATTTTCATCAAACACTTCCCATACATTTTCCTAAATTCATTTCAAAAGGTCACATTCAATTTTTGCATTGACAAAAAGAGCAGACAGAGGAACTCAGAGGTAAAGCATAATAACGTACAGGGATACATGGGGAATAAATGCAATTTGCATTGACTTGAAGCTAATTCATATGGCAAAAAATATTCATATTGCATCTGATCTCCTAGCCAAACTATCCATTTGCTCTGAAATGTGGTTCAGGCATTATGCATTCACAGAATTTCCACCCACTCTCTACAGGGGGAAGGTCTGCCTGAAATAGACCATTGATTGTTGGAAATTAAAGCAGAAATAAGTAACATAAACTGGTTAGTTGGGACACTAGGCAGTTGTATACCTCTTGCTATTTTTTGCTCTTACCTTTTCTAGATCTATGTGAAGATGGCTTTCCTCTCTTCTCTTTGGTGAAGCAGTAGTCATGCATAGCTCATCTTTTCATCTGCACACACACAAGATTCTGTGACCAAGTTTAAAGTGTAGCGCTTTTTCTCCTATTACATCTGAGTGGATTTCTTTAAACAATAAACATAAGTGTTTTTAAAGCTGACTGCAAGGATGAAGAGTAGTTATAGTAATAGCATTTGCATTTCTAAATCACTTCAGCACTCTTTAAGCAGTTTACAATCTGTAAGCCAATTGACCAAAACAAGATGGGTATTCACTTTTACTGACCTACAAAAGAATGGAAGTCTGAGTCAACCTTGGAGCCTCTGGAATTGAACTCACAGACATGAAGGGCCTCGGCAGACGACTAATTGGGTCGTCTTCCGGGCCCGGAAGAGGAGGGGCAGCCGCACGTTCGGCGCCCCTTCCTCTTCCTGAGGTCGCCCCAGAAGCTGCCGGCCCTCCGCACGTCCGGCGCTTCTGGGGCAACCTCCCTCCACAGCGACCGGACGCGCTGCGGAGGATAAGACAGCGAAAGTGAGCCCGCCGCTTTTAGGGCGCACTTTCGCTGTCTTGAGGAAGGAGCGCTGATTTAGCGCTCCTTCCAGGGATGCCGCCGGTGCGCCGAGATGCGGAGGCTGCGGCCCCGCGGCGTGCCGGCGCAGGGCGTCCTAGACGCCCTCGTCTGCTTCCCCCCTTAACCACCACACCACCAGGGCTCATAATTTAGTTACTCCTGATTTACATACTATGTTGTATTCTGCTAATGCAAATCCCAAAATATCTTACAATTATATCTGCAAATGTATACATTCATTTATATATGTGGATGTAATCTACTATGTACACAAAATCAACATCACATAAGTGTGAAGAGAAGCCAGATCTTGCCCTACAGTATGAGTAAGCAGAGTAAGCTGTCTCAGACTGTGGATGCCTTAAAAGAAGAGTGACACCAAAATGTGGAAGCACAGAGTTCTGTGTGTCATTGCATGGTTTGGCCTTCTAAAGTAGATCAGTAGCCTTCTAAAATAGCCTGCTGCCCTTAAGTGCAGTGGGGAACGCTCTCCTGTTGTAGTGTTGAAGTGAGATTAAAAAGTTCAGTCATCTTCCATACATGGTTATGGAGGAAGACCTAATGTTGTCCTGGCTGCAGACAAATAAAATGTCTTAAAAGATAGTTCTGTTTGCACACCATTCATACAAAGCTATATACATGGGACACAGAGTCATATAGTTAGAAGACAGCTTAAATGTCTCTACTAGTAGTAGAACATCCCTGACTATGCTATCTCTGATAGGTACACAATATTCATGCACCAGCACAGCAGCTATTTTTGTTATCCAAAAAATCAGCACAGTTATAGCATTAGGATTCCATTTTACCTGCCATGGCAAGATCCTATGGAATCCTGGGATTTGCAGTTCAGGGTGGGGTATTTAGAATCCTCAACCAGAGAGCAATAATGCCTCATTGTCTGTTTTGTGTGCCTTCTAATCATTTCCAACTTATGGTGACCCTAAGGTGAATCTATCATGCAGTTTACTTGGCAAGGTTAGTTCAGAGGAGATTTGCCCATGCCTTCTCCTGAAGCTGTGAGCATGTGACTTGCCCAAGGTCACCCAGTGGGCTTCATGACCATGCTGGGAATCAAACCCTGGTCTCCAGAGTTGTAGTCCAACATTCAAACCACTATGCCAATACCTCACCAAACTACAAAGCCCAAGATTCCATAGGAAGCAACCATGAAAGTTAAAGTGGAATCATAATACTGAAATTGTAGGGTGTCAAAGGTCTCCTGGTTGATCCACTGAAATGGGTGTGGCTAATCTCTCCCTCCTACCAAAAAACAGTAAGATGTGATGAGAGCATTACATTAACTAATAGTTTGTGAGGGAAATAAGGTTTCATTTTTGAAACCTTAAAAATGTGGCAGTTGCTCCTTCCTAGCAGAGCTTGAACAAATTGTTCTTTTAGACTACAGCTATCAGAATCTCCCAGCCAGAATCTGGCAGCCAATGTCCATGCTGTCTTGAGGATTCTGGAAAATATAGTCCATAAAGCAATTTCTCCATGTTTTTCTATGTGAAAAGGGGTAGGGAAAGTAATGCACTGGCTGGCTAGGAACTTCCTGTAAGCTAGTTTATAAGTATTCTGGCAGATGTTGGATTCCAGCTAGCTGGTTTTAAAAACTTTCTTTAAAGAATGTCATTGTGCTGTGCATAATATCACAATGTTTTGCTTGACACAGAATGTCTTTAGATTAAACTAGCCAGTGGCTCACTATCCAGTAGTCCCTGCTCTCTACTGGCAATGTAGTTGTAGTATAGTGGTTTGAGCGTTGGACTATAACTCTGGAGATCAGGGTTTGATTCCCAGCTCAACCATGAAACCCACTGGGTAAGTCATAGAATGTTATCACACGGGACAAATCTGCTAGTTAATCCACACAAATCCCAAACAAAAACTGGATTTG